GATGCTGAACATTGACGAGCCAGAGATGCCTCCATCTAAAAGAGTTTTAACTGAACGAACCAACATAAAGAAAATTAAAATCTGACTAATAAACAGAAGGAAAATGAACAAAGATACCTAAAAGCTCAGAATCTTTGGAGCTACGTGGTATAAAGGTAACGTACCAAGTCCTGCTTCCATGTCCAAATGTAGAATCCACCAATGTTGCACCCATGACTGCTGACATCCACGTACGTATTCATGACAGTAGCTCATTTGCACATCTGCTATTTCTGTCCTACCTGGTTCTAAGTGATGAACCAGTTATACTTTACCATGTTTATCTATGTAAAGGCAGCAGCCATATATGGCTCTTACGCTTTAGCTCACTACCTAGGTGACAGGTCCCAAAGATCTGTACGCTAACTTAGCCTTAGCTCAACATACAGGACGTGGCCTGTAGGCCCCTTGCGTTACAGCCAAAACATACTCTAATATCACCCTATACACGTATAAATCATCAGTTCCTACAAGCTTCAACGACTTTAGCGTGGAACAGATGGATACCGGGGCGACTCATAGCGGGGACACCCTGTACAGACCTATTAATGACATTATCTCATTCTCACGTCTGCTATTTCTGTCCTACCTGGTTCTAAGTGGTGAACCTGTTACATTTCACCTGTGTTTGAACTTAGGAAGACCCTGGTACCAGTTATACTTCACCATTAGGGTACTACTATATATGGATCTTATGCTTTAGCTCGTCACCACTACCTAGGTGACAGGTCCCAAAGATATGTACGCTAACTTAGTCTTAGCTCAACATACAGGACATGGCCTGTAGGCCCCTTGCGTTACAGCCAAAACATACTCTAATGCAACCTTATACACATATTATAGTAAAACAAAAAAATCAAACCCATAAGAAAATAAAAAGCCATAAAATATATGGGCAAGGAAGCAGGCTAGCTTTATAGGCCCTATAGGCTACATTTTTGAGCTGTGCGTGTGCACACACATGCCTTGCCCCTCTCCCCATCTGTTACACAGCAAATAGCTTAGGCCACATCTTCCAGCAGAGATCGAATCCTGCCCAAAGAACTGGCTCCAACTTTCATTTTTCCCTCAGCCTCCAACTCTGCCCTGAGCTCTCCCTCAGAGAGTGTTTGCTGTTGATTCATTTCTGGTCACGCCCTTTGCCCACTAACAACTGTATAGTCCCTTTCACAACACCCCGCATTTCTGGAAGAACACTCATGCCTGTGTTCGTATTACACTATGTCCTTGTGGGTTAATCGGGGCAGGGACCAATCTCTGTTTGGCCCACGGCACCTCTTTTACGGTGTCGTGTACATAGACGATGACACTCATGCTCTCGGGCCACCTGGGTTTGCCAGCAATTAACCAGCAATCTCCAGCCGGTGTTATTTAGAACTCTCAGAAAACACTGCAATTCCGACTGGTTCACGGCCCATTCCTGGGGTTAATAGGACACTCAGACGTCTCCCCTCCCAACATAGCACAGTTGATGTTCCCATTAGTGACCACACTTACTGGGCCTAACCCCGTAGTTCTGATGCAGACCAACTTCCCATCCCTCTCTTAAGACCTGGTTTTCTCCCTGCACACGATTTATTGAAGAAAGATCCCCCATTTTTGAATGGAAGCAGGCTGGAAGAGGGAGGAACTCAAGCTTTCTTGTCAGTGAGAAAACAACTGCATGGGGAAGTGGAAGAAGAAGAAACATATAAGAGGGGAGGCTGAGATTGCGGGAGCATGAGCAACCAAGTGACAGATATTAGATACTACATTTAGCTAGACTGGAGGGTCTTGATTTTTAGGAAAGCGATCTTGAACTGGATCCAAGAACATTGTAGAGTAGACACAAGGGCTGTATCTAGACTGGCATGATTTTCCGGAAATGCTTTTAATGGAAAAGTTTTTCATTAAAAGCATTTTCGGAACAGAGCATCTAGATTGGCACAGACGCTTTTCCACAAAAGCACGTTTTTCGGAAAAGCGTCCGTGCCAATCTAGACACGCTTTTCCGCAAAAAAGCCCCGATCACCATTTTCGCGATCAGGGCTTTTTTGCGGAAAACAAATCTGAGCTGTCTATACTGGCCCTTTTGCGCAAAAGTTTTGTGCAAAAGGACTTTTTCCCGAACGGGAGCAGCATAGTATTTCCGCAAGAACACTGACAATCTTACATGAGATCATCAGTGCTTTTGCAGAAATTCAAGCGGCCAGTGTAGACAGCTGACAAGTTTTTCTGGAAAAGTGGCTGATTTTCTGGAAAAACTGGCCAGTCTAGACACAGCGAACAAGTAACACTTCTGCTCTGCTGTATCAGTTGGTTTCTTGCCAGTTCGGCTGCCACATCTCAGGAACGATGTGGCCAAATTGGACAAGGTCTACAGAAAAGCAATAAAAATTATTAAAGTTCTAGTAAACATGAGCTCTAAGTGAAGTCTGAAAGAATTGGAGACTGAGGGGGAACATTATAACAGTCTTCAAGTACCTACAAGATTGTTACAAGGAGGAGTGAGAAAAAGTGTTCTCCTTAATCTCCAAAGATACTGCAAAGAATTATGAGTTAAAACTAGAAGAGCAGTTTGGGTTGGACATTAGGAAAAACTTCCTATCAGGGTTGTTCAGCACTTGGAATTTCTATTGCAGGTTAGACAAACACCTGTCAGGGAAGGTCTATGTAATACTTAGTCCTTCCAGGAATGCAGGGGATGGACTAGATGCCCTCTCGGGGTCCCTTCCAGTACTAAATTTCTGTGATCCAGACATGGGTAAGAACCCAGGGCAGAGGCCAAGGATGGCGTAGAACAGCATGTGAAAGAGCAACCTGAACGCAGCATCCTGGCTCCCCCGAAGCAGACAGAGCAGGGAGGGGCAGTTTTCAGAACAAAAAGGGCTGATGGCCCAGGGAAGGATTTCAGCAGAGACAGGGCAAGGGAAGGATCAGGGGCAATGTGGTTTTCAGGAGCAAACATGACATCATTGCAAGGAATGGGGGACACTAATGATGCCCACTTCAGCACTGTCTCTCCCCACAGAGGCACCTTCCAGACAGCCCAGTAAGTATTGCAGGGACAGTGATGGACATCACATTTGCCACAGAGTGGTCACTCTGGTGGGTCTGACAGGCGCGACATGAAACTCACATTCACTTTTGCTATTTGGTGCTGAAGGAGGCAGCACGGTGGGAAGGGCGGAGCAGAAAGCTTGCCAAAGAAAACCAACCCTTTGAATATGGCTTATGGGCCAGGACAAGGGTAGGGGATAAAAGCCATTGGGCAGTGTTGTGTCAGCTAAGGTAGTTCTTCTTCGAGTGCTTGCTCATGTGCATTCGAATTAGGTGCACACACACCGCGTGCGTGGATTCCAGAGCCTCCTTTCCTCAGCAGTATCCATCGGGTCATTAGGGAGCCCCATGGAGTGGCGCCACCTAATGATGAATAAGTACCCCTGCTGGCCCTCCCCTCCCTCAGTTCCTTCTTAGAGCCCGTGACAGAAGCTGGAACAACTTGTCTTTCTGACTTTACGCCCCAGCGTGTAGATAGTTCTCCTTTGAAGTTGTTCTTTCTAGTGTAAATCGTTGGCAACTAGTTAGGTAGGTTTTAGCATTAACGTGCCTGTCCCCTATGAGAGAGGGTGATGCCAGGTCCACAGGGTTTTAAGCTTTGTGCGACCTGTTCAAAGCCAATGCCCTGCAGGGACCCCCAAGACTCTTGTTTGAAGTGTCTGGGTGATGGCCACCTTAGAGATCGTTGCAAAATCTGCAAGGATTTTAAATCCTGCACAAAGAGGGAGAGAGATTCCCGTCTGAAGCTACTTCTTACAGAGTCCGCACTTCAGCTGGCGTCAAAATGGGCACCGATAGTGAGGATGCACCGGTGTCGGTACGTGAAGTCTCAGCGGCACCGGTACATACCTCAGCACTGAAAAAGGCTACAGTACTGAGGCACTGTTCCCAGTCTCGGGACGAAAGAAGAGGAGACAACCAAGAAGGAGATCTCCGGGGTAGCAAGGGCCTGGGAGTCTGCACCGGGCTCGCACTCTGAAAGAACACTCACCTCCGCACTATCGAGACATTCCAGGGCTGCTAGGCACCGGTTGGACTAGACCAGGACAAGGTCAAGAAGGGCCTTTACATGTGGACCGACCATCCACCCCTGAGACCATTGGCACTGCGAGGGAGCTGATAGAGCTCACCAGTCTTGTCTCTGGCACTGGACCAGACATCTCAATGGATCAGACACGTGGGGCAGACAAGTCACATACCTCTGGCACTGGTAGCCTTGGTGGCACCAGGCACCTCCGTGACAGCAGGGGCCTGGTCAGCACTGGGAACCGCGTTGACACCGGGAACATCATTGGCACAGTCGGCCTTGTTGGTACCAGAACCTTCGTTGGTACCGGGTCCCTTGTCAGCACCAGTAGCTCCATCGGCACCAGAAGGGCAGCCATCCTCGGCACAAGGATGGGCGGTGCACGGGAATGGGAGAAGCAGCTCACAGATGAACTCCCTCCTCCAGTGCTCCAGGGAAGACCAGAGTCCAACGCCAGGCACCAGAACAGGCACCTCTTGCAGGCGCCCTGTATCGTTGTTCGACCTCTCCTCCGTTGGCTTGGGCTAGGGAGTCACCTAATTTGAATGCACACGAGTAAGCCATCGAAGAAAAAAAACTATTACTTACCTGTAGCTGTTGTTCTATGAAATGTGTTGCTCATGATCACTCAACACCTGCTCTACCTCTCATTCATCAGAGTTTATCCAACAAAAAGGATCTGAGGGAGGGGAGGGCCGGGCCAGCATTGGTAGTTATTCATCATTATGTCGGCTTCGTTTTAGGTGGCTACCTGCTGGCCCAACGGATACCACTGAGGAGAAAAGGCTCCAGAATCCATGCACATGGTGTGCACACACTTAATATGAATGGCCATTAGCAACACATCACAAACAACAACAGTTACATTGGTACTGCATGTCCTCTGCTCTGAGGCTCAGGACTCAGGTGGAAAAACATCTTTCAGAGTGAACATAAAGAAGATGATCTTTTCGCATTCTGATTTCTTGCCAAACTCAAAGAGGCAGCAGAACAGGGGCGAGCCCTCAGGGCCTGGCCCCATGTACTGCAGATCTGAATAAGAGCAGAAGCCCTGGCAGATGACTGTGGGTTTCATCCAGCTTTCTGGATTTAAGGGTTCCTTGTTGAGGTACAAGCCTAAATCTTTCCGCTCCTCGGAGCTTGTAGGATGAGAATAGAGGACCCACGTGTCCTGCTCTGACTGAACTCCAGCGGGTATTGGGAAGCCAATAACACTCCCATGACAGCCCCAGGGAGGTTCCACCAGTTTTCTAAAGACACCCTGACTCTTAAAGTCCCTCCCCTCAGTGTCGCTCACAGCCTGGACTCTGGGTCCCCCTTTCTTTCTAGCGTTGCAGTACAGCACTGACTTGCCTTCCCTTTTCAATTCAACCATCTGGCATTCCCCAGCATTCTCTGCTAGATAGTTCCCCCTTCTCCAGGTCTCCCCCTGGTCATCACTAACAAAGCAGAAGGGGTGGGGGGACAGAGAACTATTGTCATGTATTCAATAGGCATGTGCTGGAATCACTAGACTCTTAACCTCATTGTTTAGCTGTAAACAGTGGCCTGGTCCCACTGCAAAGGTGGCCCAGTGCTCGGGTACTATGTCACTGTTAGTGAGATCCTTCACAGGGCTCCAGGAGACTCCGTTGTCAGCGCTGGTGACCTGGCACAGACGGGCCTTGTTTTCCTTTTTCCTGATCTGTTCTTGCTCAGAGACGTTTCCCTCCACAGCTATAAAGAACAGAACAATGTTTCCATCCTCTCCATCTATCTTGTACACGGGACATGGGTTCATGGGGCTGTGCGCTACTACACGGTCTTTCTGTGTATCCAATTTCACATTCTCGACAATGATCTGCATTGGTTCCCACTGCCACGTGGTGGCGTGAAGGGGGAGAAAGGAAAAAACACAGATTAAATAAATCCATATTACCCACGACGGATACTTGCATTACACATTTAGGACAGAAACGAGAGGCACCAAAGCCAAGCGAGTGATAACCCTAACCCTGACCCCACCTTGAGCCGCCCAAGCCCTGCACCCCAAAGCTCCCAGCCCCTCACCAAAGCCCATGTCCCCAGCCCGGAGCCTTACCACCTCCTGGGCCCCAACACCCAACCCAGAGACTATACCCTCTTCTGCCTCCCGATCCCTCATCCCCTGCCCCACCCCAGAGCCTGACCCAGCATCAGTGATCGCTCCCTCCCTCCCCTCCTGGATATGCGTCTATGGGCCCTCCCCGTTCTTGGCACCTCCTCCTCCGCCACCTACAACCTAGCAGGGAGGAGTGGCCAACCTTTCCATTTCCCTCCCCCAGCATTCATCCCCATCCCACTGACTGTGATGGGGAAACTGCAAGTGGAAACCTACTGACCTCACCACCTGGCCTCCTGATCCCTCCCCCAGGGGTGTCACCTCGACGGCTGCTGCCCAACGGCCTGTCCTTGCTCCCTCTCAGGCATCGGCAGTGACAGGCACTGGCTGGGCTCTGCTGTTACCATGTTCCCTAGACCCCCATCCCTGGGGGAGCCTCACCGTTCCCAACCCCAGCAGTAGGAAGGACTCAGGGTATGTCTACACTGCCACCCTAGTTCGAACTAAGGTGGCTAATATAGGCATTCAAAGTTGCAGATGAAGCCCAGGATTTAAATATCCCGGGCTTCATTTGCATCTTGCTGGGCGCTGCCATTTTTAAATCCCCATTAGTGCGGACTCCGTGCCCGTGGCTACACGCGTCACGGAGTAGGTAGTTCAAATTAGGCTCTCTAATTCTAACTACTGGTACACCTCGTTCCACGAGGGGAGAGGATGTCTGAACATTGCCACCTAATGAGTTTTGTGAGTCGGGGGTTCCACGTGGGAGCAGAGCAGAAGAAAAGAGGCTGAGCTGGGGGAGGAAGAGTGGGAGAATGTTGTTTGTCGCTCGTGGTGCTCAGGGATGAAATTGAATCAGAAATTGGAGTAACTCATAGAATCATAGAATCATAGAGCAGGAAGAGACTTCAAGAGGTCATGAAGTCCAGCCCCCCTACCCAAGGGAGGACCAATCCCAACTAAATCATCTCAGCCAGAGCTTTGTCAAGCGGAGACTTAAACACCTCTAGGAATAGAGATTCCACCACCTCCCTAGCTAACACGTTCCAGTGCTTCACTACCCTCATAGTGAAATAGTTTTTCCTAATATCCAACCTAGACCTCTCCCACTGTAACTTGAGACCATTGCTCCTTGTTCTGCCGTCCATCACTACTGAGAACAGCCTCTCTCCATCCTCTTTGGAACCTCCATTCAGGAAGTTGAAGACTTCTATCAAATCCCCCCTCACTCTTCTCTTCTAAAGGCAAAACAAACTCAAATCCCTCAGCCTCTCCTCATAGGTCATGTGCTCTAGCCCCTAATCATTTTGGTTGCCCTCCACTGGACCCTCTCCAATGAGATCACATCCTTCCTGTATTTGGGGGCCCAGAACTGGACACAATACTCCAGGTATATGTCCACACTACGCCTCCATGATTTTTCCAGAGACTGAGATAAGGCTGACTGGTCTGTAGTTCCCTGGATTGTCCTTCTTCCCTTTCTTAAAGATGGGCACTACATTTGCCTTTTTCCAATCATCTCTGGACTATTCAAAGATAATAGCCAAAGGCTCCTCAATGACATTTGCCAAGTTCCTCAGTACTCTCGGATGCATTAAGTCCGGACCCAGGGATTTGTGTACATGTAGCTTTTCTAACTAGTCCTTAACCTGTTCTTTCCCCACCAAGGGCTGTCCACTTTTGTCCCATATAGTGCATTTGTCTGGGAGCTGACCTTGTCCGTGAATACAGAGGCAAAGAAAGCATTGAGTACTTCAGCTTTTCCCACATCATCTGTCACTAGGTTACCTCCTTCATCCAGTAGGGGCCACACACCCTCATTGATCACCCTCTTATTGTTAACATGCCTGTAGAAAGCTTTGTTACCCTTCACATCCACTCGGGGAAGCCCAGCGAGCTGTAGAGAAAGGAAAAGCTGCGCCGGAGCTAACAACGGGCTCCAGGCCTGTTGGGGAGCGATCCTGCCAAAGATGCAGGCGGTAGAGATAAAGGAAGAGCCGGGTCAGTGTCAGGCACCTGGGGCAGGTGAGGAAATGCTGTTGGCAGGAGCAAGCAGATGCGGCTCAGATCCCTGGGCAGCTCGAAATCAGACCCTGGCGGCAGCGGGAAGGAGTCCGGGAGTTGGGAAGTGCAATGCGGTAGCGAGGGGACAGGCGCACACAGAGCCGGCGGCAGAGAGACCAGCCCCGGCACTTATGGTGCCCAACACGGGATTAACCTGGTGCCCCCCTGCGCCCGTCCGAGAAGGCAGGAATGTGGCTGCAACACAGGTGGGGCTTCGCTCAGGGACCGGGCTCCACATTGCAGAGTGCGGGGGGTAGTGATTCCCTTCCCGCTGGCGCTGCAAGCTGCTCTCTGATCTGCACTTCCGGCAGCCTGCGGGTCACTCCGTGGGGAAGGCCGGAACCCTTGGGCTGGCTGCCCAGACAGTGAGTCACTTTCACTTTCACTTTCTTAGCAGCCAGGCAGCTGGAGCACCAGCTCCCCAGGTCCAGCCGGCGGGACGCTCTGTGGGGGATGGAGCGTCGGTTCCCCTCTCCCCAGGAGTGGAGTCAGGGACTGAGTCTCAGGAACTGCAGGGGAGTTATAAAAGGGCTTCAGCAGTGATGTAGCCACCAGCAGATGACAAACAGAGTTCTCCCAGAGGAGGTGACTGGTGATATAAAGGCTGAGGCATGTGGAGCCCAGGGGGAGGAGACTCCATTAGAGTCCGCCCCTGGGAGTGAAGGACGATGCCTTTGTTAGAATTGAAAGTTTTATTCTTTTTATATTTCTTGTCTTAGGTATAGTAATATAGTAGTAATGTAGCAATAATATAGCAATATAAGGCATATATATTAACATACATTTAATATTTTAGAAATTAAGTCCTTTCAGTTGAAGGTCTATTTTCTTTGTTCTGAAGTTTAGTAAATGTCCTAAAGTAGAAAAACAGTTCTGGGTATTGAGGCTGCGTTAATAAGATTACAGGAATTCTGCTAATGTGCAAGGCCAAAGCCTTAATTGCTTGATTTACAATTGCAGATCTGTAACCTCCAGAGTTCTTGTAAATGTTGCTCATGTGTGTGAATGTGTCGAGATAAGATGAAAAGTCATATGGTTTTGGAACCAGATGGCTGAAGAAGGGGGAGTGAGTGAGCATGGGCAAGGCTAGAGGACGAAACAACCTGACTGAAGAGGAGCCCTCTATAACCATCGATGTATACCCCCTACTTACAAGAAGATCGGATAATTGGTAGATTGACAACCTTAAAGTGGAGCAAGCATCCCGAAATGACAATTGATTAGGATGAGCCTTCAAGAGATGTTTGGGAACGATTGACATCAACAAGATAACATTCCGGTCACAAGATGACAGAGCAGAATCCATGGATTTCAACAAGAGAAACGGATTATAAAAAGCAGGGTGTTTTGCTATGGAACTTGGGTTTGTCTTGCCAACAAATCCAGAGGAGCAGACTCTGGACTGGTAACTATGACATTGTCTGACGAGACTTTGTGTGTATGGTGTTTGTGTGTATGAGTGATTGAAAAGCATATGCAACTGTTGTATTCTCAATAAATGCAGCGTACTGCCTTTTCCCCTATAAAAGATCTTGTGTGCTTCATTTAAGCATAACACCTTTAGAAACTGTGATTGTTCAGGGACCAGAAGACACGGAGTCACAGGTGACGCAAGTAGCTACGGTCTGTGATGTGCTAATCTCTAGGCTACCACAGAGAGACAACAGCCAAGGGATGCCATTCCCACTCCTCCACCCAGCACTACACTGGCACAATACAGGCCAAGAGACCAGCCCCTTCTGGTGGGTTATTGGCATTTGATCCATCACCAGCATTGCTCAAGTCCCTTACATTGTGTGGCCCCTCTTTACTTCCTTGGTGTTTACCTGGTGTACCTATGAAACATCTAGTTCCATCTCCATTTAACCGAGGACTGCCCTGACCCAGTGTGGAGAAGCGCTAAGGGAGGACATAGGTGTTGTATGAAATGTTACTGTTCTCGCCCAGACCCAGGATTGCACTCAGGGAAAGTTCCGATACTCTGGTTGTTGGGGTACATACATCCAACCATCCAGCTATCACCCATATAGGCATGTACAACGTTTAAAGGCCAGGGCGCCTGGCCGTGAGTACCTCCATTGAGGGAAGGAAGGGGCAAGCCTGGGACTGGCTATCACGCTGTTTCTCCCTCTGAATCTCTGGGCTCTTGGAAGGCTGAGGAGAGAGGGTTCGGGAATACGAGGCCCCACAGCTGGGCTCTGGGGACAGACGGGGTGCAGGTATCTGGTCTGGAGGGGGCCATGGTTGGGCCCTGGAGAGGAGGCTGGTTGGATGTATTGACTGCACGGAGACATGCAGGGGAGTCTGTGGAGGGAGGCTTGTGGGTGCCTGGCTCCCGGCTGGGCTTGTGGAGGGGAGCATAGTGGGGCTGCCAAACAGGAACTGGGCTGTCAGAGGGGTTTCTTTAACTCTCTGCTCCCAGGAGACTGTTTGGGTCTGTCTGTTACAGACACAGTTGCTGACAGCGGTGCTGAAATAAATCACCAAAATACCTGAAGCTCACGTGGCCACGCTGTGGTATTTTGACAAACACCTTTGCAGCATTCTGAACTCCTGTGCGCAGAGGACGGAACGTGTTGGTGCAGAAAGCCCCAGGAGCAAGGCCGAGCTAGGGCTAAGTTAGCGTACGACTGTTTGGGACCTTTCACCTGGGTGATGGGGATGAGCTAATGCCCGCACAGGGCTGTAGCCTTGAACATAGA